TAACCACATATAGTTATACTTTTCCAACTGTTAATATAGCCTCTTTGGATAATCCTTTTTTGATTAAGACAATATTTGATATCGATCTACATATACAACTATGGCATTTTTTAAGAGTTAAGAAAAACTAGAATTCTATTTTAGTGAATATATACTTTTATGAGGGAAGAAACATTAAAGAATATACATTCGATAGGATTGTTAATCATTTTAATTTAATTAGATTTAAAATAACATATGGAAATATATTGTAAACACTAAACTATTTAACAATCTAATTAATAAATATGGTATTTTTGAACTGTGACAAGGAGATTAATACAGATCAATGTCATTTATCTTGTTTAGAATGTGATGGCCCAACTAAATTTGATTGTTTGTCTTGTGATCCTACTTCATTTAGGAATTATAATGAAAAATAAAAATCTTGCGTTTGTGAATACGGAAAAATAGAATTAGATGGAGAGTGTAAAGATTATTCTTCTTTTTAATTAAGTATTTCCTAAGAAATTTAGAAAGAAATTATATGTTCTCATGGGTATTTTGAATCTGAAGGTTAATGTTGGAAATGGTATTTACATCTAATTAACTTAGTCCTTCCAAAATAAAAGAAAAATTAATTACTTGTATAGAGTGTATTACAAATCCAAAAACTTGGATAAATAATCCATATTGTTAATATAATTTTGTAACGAATAATGATGAAATTCCATTTACAAAATTAGATCATGGAGTTGAAGTATATTTTTTTGATGGAAAAGATATAAAACTTAGCGAAAATTAAGAGAATCATTCAGATATTTATTTAGATTATCTATAGACTTATGATCATTTCACAAATTTCTGTTAGAACTGCCTAAGAGATTTAGAAAGAGAATAGTGCTTCATTTTTGAGCACTGTGAATAATGTGAAATTCGAATATTTAAACCACAATGCACCAAATGTATTATGAATTTTGCTTTAAAAGATGGAGCTTGTACAATAAAAAAACTAATATAAAGTGGAAAATATCTAATATGTGAGACTCCTTATTATTAAACTTATTACAATACATGTATTTTATGTCCTATTATGAATTGTCTATATTGTTTTGATTATTTAAAAGAAGATATCATATAAAATACGATTGTATTAGCAAAAAAATTTGATGCAATTGATGAATAAGTATTAGTAGGTTGTGCATAATGTTTTGAAGGTTATATTTATGATTTTACAATTGGAAAATGTTTATATTAATAGCCATAAATATAGAATTGTCTAAGATCTTATGTGGATTAATGGGGTAAAGAGATATGTATTGTTTCATCAATAGATGATTTTAAAATTGCTCCTCAAATACTTAATTGTGAAAATCAAATTTTTCATTGTAAATAATGCTTCCAAAACTTATAAACCATTGTAAAATGTCTAATTTGTGAAAAAGGTTATGTAGCTTCTGAACAAACAGGATATTGTGAAATCGAACCATAATTGGAGAATTCTAAGTCTATGATTGTATTTTATGATTAAAATATTTGGAGGTATATTGTTCAAAGTTTTGCTATGCTATTTACAAAAATAAATTAATCTTATATAGAATTCTAAATTTATAATTTTCCAATAGATTGTTTAGATGGATATTCTTTAAATTAGGGAAAATGTGTAAAATATTGTGATTAAAATTGTTAAACATGTTAAAAGCAAGAAATATTAGAGGGTTTTACTTGTTCTTTGTGTTCTTTAAACACTTAACTAGAACCATATAGAGTTTAAGAAAATGGAAAATGCATAATCTGTCCTTCATTATGTTTAGTATGCCAAACAAGATCTTAAGATAGTATTAAAGTATTTTTAATCTTATATTTTAGAGCATTAATCCTTATTACATAATTAACGAAACAAATAATTAATATACTACAAAGTGCATAAAAAGTATCTCAGGTCAAAATATTTATATTGACCCTGATCATACAATTGCTTAGTATATTTATAAACCAAATTAAGGAGCCTTTGAATACACAGTAATATTAATCATAATTTAAGGTTATTTGGTCTTACGATATTCACTAAAATATATTTACACAGGATTAAATGAATTACTTTGAAAATAATTTTGACTTCACCTATTTTAATGAAATTGGTCTCTAATAATTCATTCTAACTATTCAAATATATTAGCCTGGTTAAATTAGTAGTCTAACTACTTACACAATTACTAATTAAATTAAAAAAAAAGTTTTTTCAATAAAATCAGTTAAACTAAATTTATAAGGAGATTTATCTTTATTCCCACTATATTAATTATATTAAATTCAAAATTTTAATTAAGTTGAATTTAGTAATTTGTTTGCATTAATAAATGATGATATCACTTTTGAATTTTATAATAGAGGAGATGCAATAGATTATAAAATAGTAAATACAAGCTTTTTTTCAGATAAACCAATAAAATTAGAGATCCTTATTAATGATTATAAGACTTGTGATATTCAAAATATGTCAATTTTAAATGCATAGATTGATAATTCCATAATCTTTTAATTAAATTCTACTATATAGCATGAAAATAGTATAATAGAATACTTTTTCTTACAGGATTGTATAATAAACAACTCATTTTTATTTAATTTTCATACTACCACACAAGACATTATAATTAAAAATCTTTTTATTGAGAGATGTGAATTAAACAATTTTACTCTTATAAATATTTAACAACAAAAATATTAATCAAAATTAAGTATAAGATCTTTAATAATTAAGAATTCAATATTATCTAATTCTTTATTTGTATAAGCTCATGATAATAATTTGCTATATATATATTCTTTTTAAATGATTGAAAATTAGATTATTAATTCACAAATAATAAAATTTACTAAAGATCTTTTTAGTTTTAGTTGTTTGATTAAATAAAATTTGTTTAAAGAATCAATTTTGTTTTAAAAGTATTTCTCTCTAAATACTTAATATTAAATTAAAATAGATGATTTTGATGTAGAGTCTAATATCTTTTAGAACTTTTAAGTACTAGTTATTGATTAAAACATATTAACACCAACCTAAATAGAATTAACAAACTTTATTTTTAAAGATAATACTAATCCTTCAAAAGAAATTTAAGATTATTTATTGAGACTTACTTGCTCTAAAATTTTAATTTAAAATGTGACCATAATAAACACTTTCAATAATCGCTACTTTTATTTATTCAACATTTCTCAAATAATTTTAAGGAATATATCTGTATAAAATGAAATTTAAGAGTATAAGATTCCTCTACATTAAGATTGCACTATTAATAATTATTAACATTTATAACTATTGTCTGTGAAAGGATTTAGGAGTCTTTATTTAGTTGATATTAATTTTACCAATTTGATAACTATAGATTAATCATTTATTGAAATTTAATCGAATGAATTAGCTAAAAATGAAGATTTTGAGAATATCATCATTCAAAACATTAGTTTGACTAGTAACATTTTGATGAAAATAAGTTAAGGAAATATTTTTTCTATCATTTCGATCATTTCAGATAAAGTTTAGTAAATTTATTTAGAGAATATATTTTATTAGGAGAATTCTTATTATTAATATATTGTAGATCCAACATTTACTTCTTCTAGTTTGCTTTTCATAAATTC